ACAGCAGCTTATCTGTGTGTCTGTTGAAGGAGAAGGTAACAGAATACTTCTAGTTGATTTGTTTACAACAAAAACCACCTTTCACATTAGTAAATTAGATTATTTTATCCTGCTACTGTGTATATCATCAGCTGGATAAAGCCTTGCCGGATAAACTTATCTATCTCTAGTTATTACAATGTACGTCATATGATGACGCCACATGTTTAGCAGCAAAACAAAACTACATATAGATGTTATTTTATCATGGTAAAAGAAGAATGAAACCATTTAATTATTCTAAAAACATGATAAAAGCAGGATAAATCAAATACATGGTTGATGTCGGGATGGAGAAGGTTTATCCGGTTTGCTGCGAAAGTGAATCTTGGCTCGCTAAAGCTCGCCAGGATACACTTTCTCGCTCACAGTATAAACCTTCTCCATCCCGACATCAACCATGTATTTTCTATTAGAATTTTGAAATTGTATCTTGAGGAAGTTAGAGATGTGGCACAAATTTGGTTAACTGTTATATGACTGATGCAATTTTTTTTACTCCATCACAGTTTCAAATGATTTATGTGGAGAAGTTGGTACTTTCTTGTGGAAAAACAGCTTAGTGCTGGTATATAGTCATGGGATACTTATTTAGTAACTGCTGTTTACACTTAACTGAAGGTTATGTTAAAAAGTGGTGCTAAACTAAACAAAAAATTCATTTAAAGCCATTTACATTTCAAGAAGGAAATATGTTAAAAGATATGACATTGGTAGATGGTAATGATAATGTTTATTTTTTCAGTTCGTGGTTACAATGCCGCCTCGGAAGAGTTAAAAGGTAACTTGATGGACACAAACATGGAACAGGAAACAATTAGAGATCTAAGTCAGAGAAAACAGGTACTTGTACTAACAATATAATTAGTATAGTAATTAGTTCTGACTTGACTGAAAGCAAGGAATTTGGTGAAATGTTCAGTAAATGTTGTTTTTTGTGGTGGCGGCATGGCTGATTAGTTAAAGTGTTGGACTAGAGATCTAAGAATTACTGGTCTCATAAGTTCTATTCCCGTCAGGGCCAATCAGTTGTTTCCTTGAGCAAGAAACTCATTGCTTAGTACTGGTTGATACCAGGAACGGATTCAAGAGTGTTTCAATAAGCTTATAGCTTCCAACACAAACTAAAATAAATTTGTATAATCAAAATTTTAATTTATTTTTAGATAAATAAGTAATATATTCACACCAACAAGTTGTTTCATCAACTGAAAACAAGGAGATATATATTAATTTGATGTTGGTCCAAGCTATCATTTGTGTATAGCCATTCAAGACTTTAATAAGATTTAAAAAGATTAGATGCTGTTCTAAGACATAAATTGATTAAATGGTCATTTTGGAAAGTATGAGTATCTTAAGCATCTTTTTTTACTGTATTTATGAAAATTTTAAACATAACTTATATATAATTAACAGAATCTCATGCTGGAGTTAAGAAACTATGAAGAAAATCAAAAAGCTGGTGTGGCGGCTTCAGGCGTTTTGAATGCTCGGGCACAGCAGTCAGGTGGGGGTCCAGTCTCGGCCGACAAACCTTTCCCAGTCGGGGTAGAATACGAGCAGTCTGAGATGGGAGTCATACCTGTAAGTATAGTTTGTTATACCTGTAAGTATAGTTTGATAGTAAAACAAGGTATTTGTTTGTTTATTGTGAAAATGAAAAAAATGTCACACTGAGAAATGAAAATGTTGAGAATGTAGCATGAGTGAAATTTGTGAAAAATTCACATCAAAGAAAAAAAATTTATTTGTAAAAATTAAGTTTGTGCAATACATTCTTTAATTTTGTTATGAAAATTTTTGTTATACACATGAATATATGTTTAAGTTGATAAAAAGAAACATGTAATGAATGTTTATTAATTCGTTTGTCAGGCTCTCTGGCTCTGTGTTCACTAATATGGATCAGGATCAAATGATCTTGATTTCAGCCGTGTCACAACAAAACCAACATAGTGGGTTTGCGACCAGCATGGACCAGACCAGTCTGCGCATCAGCGCAGTCTGATCAGGATCCATGCTGTTCGCTTACCAACACTATTACAATTAGAGAAATTAATAGCGAACAACATGGTTCCTGATTAGACTGCACAGATGCGCAGGCTGGTCTGGATCCATGCTGGTCGCAAACTCACTATGTTGGTTTTGTTGTGACGCAGCTAAAATGATTCTGATTTTATTTTCATTGTTTTATAAAGTTAAAGTTAATCGTATTTTGATAGAATTAAAACAATAATTTATCAATAAATTGTAGTCTCTGCGGATTTGTTTGCTGATCTGAAGATTCTGCAGGTCGTATTTACAGACACTTGCATAACCAAAGTATACAAGAGATTTGCAAAAATAGAAGGTGACCGATTTCAGGTGTTATTTGTTTGAAAGTCAAATTTGTCAGCATTAATTTTAGTTCTGTTCTAGTCAAGTATATTTATTCAAGTATTGATGAATTCTTTGTATTTTCCTTTATTCTAGGCCTCAACTCAATTACAGACAACTTTGTCTGTGAGCCCAGGTGATGAGAAGAATCCAGTAAGTTTGTTCTTTTTTACCTTTTGAACTTTGAACTTTAAAAATTTCAGATGTATTACCGGTAGTTTGTTTATACCATTGTTAATTCATATTGTAAATACATGTATAAGAATAATGGGAGTTTCTGCGAATGAAATAAATATTAACTTTGTTGTAAAATGATATCATAAAAATTGACGGAGTAAAGAAAAAACATGTACTTTCAACTTATTTATGAACACTCAAAAGAAATATGTAGAACTATATGTACTTTAAATCACAGAGTAACAAGAAGTGAAATGTGCTAGTTTTTGTTCCCTTCCTGTGTCAAATAACATTGTATCGTACCTTAGTTGCTGTGAATACAAAAAACCATTAAATCAGCCTCTATATGTGCTCCCTGTAGATAGATGATGCTAATTATTTTTATTATCACAACAAATATTGAGTCATGACATTCTGTGCAGCCGTCTGTTCTTTAATACTTTAATACATTGTTATAACTTTCATTTTTTAGGCCCATGTAGAGTTGATAGTTGCCACTACAAACGGTATGTATGCAAACTAAATTTCGTATGATAGTGTACATATATCTATGAATTCATTACAAATGTGATGTTTTCGTAGTTGTGATTTCGATATGTATAGGCAGTATGAGTGAAACACTTTTCAAATTGATAGAATTATTTACGATAATAATTTTCAATTTTCATCTTGATATCCCTAAATTGATAATGGACAGTTCCAAAAATGGAAGCTGGATATGTCCATTTAAGAAATTCATCAGGTTGAAGGGTTTATTTCCTTTTTATCTTACAGACACTGTAGTACGAGCAGTCCTCATTTTTGCCGAGGGAATATTTGAAGGAGAAAGTCACGTTGTGTAAGTATGATAATTTGTTTTGGTATTGAAAATCATCATACTTTACCCTGCTGACTGTCTGCGACTGGACTTATCATGTCTTGAATTTGGAACAGTTCACTATTTAATTAAAGTGGCCTTTAGCTTTTATTTTTTGTTGGAAAAACATTTCTGTGCTGTTTCAAACTAAGTATTTCAGTAATATTACCTAAGAAAAGTGCTTCATATCACTGTAAAGCCTTCTTAAAAAAAAAACTGTGCCCCAAGAGCTATTTATAGGGCACATTGACGTTCGTTTCTAAAAATAGAATATCAGGAAACAAATTGTCTACAAATTATTTACATATAAAGGGAGGACTGGTAGGTTAGAGGTATCGAGGGGTTTCTTTATTTTTATATATTTTATTGACAGCTAATTATTATTTTAATTATTCTTTTGATTTGACAATTATATAAAATAATTTATCTAAAAATAACAAAATATTTAACCTTTAGAAAAGCTGAAGGCCTCTTTAACCATAGCCATGTTAGATATCTAAAATTGGACTTTACCATCATTTTATCTAGACAAAACTATTTATCATTTTAAAGGAAAATTTAGAGGGAAGTACTGACTGAATAGCAAAAAGTGCAGACCATGATCAGATGGCACAAATGTGCCGGCTGATTTTGGTCTACACCGGTCAAATGAATGGACTCTGTCTCAGCTGTCATGCAAAGGGTTAAGGGAATTCAATAATAAAACTGTAAGGTCAGCAATGTAGAGTCTTGTCAGATGCCCTGTGGTTTCGATTCAGAAATGAGCAAATTTTTTGTACGATAATAACAATATATGATTAGTAGAATAAGAAAAATAAATATTTACTTTTTGCTAATGAATTATTTTCAAAATGAAATCTGTATGACCGAAACAATTATCTTAGATGAACTATTATGTTATATAATTTTGTGGTAGTTAATCATATTAAAAACATAATTATGTTTTATCTTTCAGACATCCGAATGCTGGTTCATTAAGCAACTGTGTTAGAGTTCCAATTGTTCCACCAAAAGACGTCCCTGTAGATCTCCATATAAAAGCTTTCATTGGCTATAAAAATTGGTAAGGTTTTTTTTTTCTCCTTTCTTTTAACCCATTTTCGACAGTAACAAATACCTATTATTTTCGCAAAAAGTGTTGACCGAAATTTACCATGGATATATCATGTAAAAAAATTCTTAATCTGGCTGTTGTTCAAACTCATTATTTACCCAGTTTATATTTCTTATGACTTAAACCAACAAGGATAAAGTATGATTTGGATGATTGATTCCAATATGTTTAATGTTGGAGATTGAATACTGCTGAAGTCAATGCTAGAGGGTGTTGAGGTAGGGAATAAAACAACATTACTTTGGTAGAGGAGTACTGTATTGTCTGTGACAAGCTCTTGTTTATATGATGTTGTCCATGCTAATCATGATAATCTTTGTCCTTTGTGTGTTCTTCTTTGCTCTATCTTTGCACATATAGAACACCAGCGAACCAAATGAGCCGCGTCACGACAAAACCAACATTATGTGTTAGCGACCAGCATGGATCCAGACCAGCCTGCGCATCCGTGCAGTCTGATCAGGATCCATGCTGTTCGCTATCAGTTTCTCTACTTGTAATAGGGTTGGTAAGCGAACAGTATGGATCCCGATCAGACTGCACGGATGCGCAGGCTGGTCTGGATCCATGCTGGTCGCAAATGCACTATGTTGGTTTTGTCATAACGCGGCTCAAATATATCTCATTTACCTATAATAAGTGGAGTGTATTTTAGTCAGTGTTCATGTGCTTGAATGTTGATGACCTCAAATCAAACTTTGCTGGCCTCAAATAAAACTTTGATGACCTTAAATAAAACATGCACCGCCTCCGTGGTCAAGGGGTTAGAGTCGATGACTTCTAATCCAGTTACCTCTCTGGCTTGGGTTTGATCCCCAGGAGATGCTTTGGTAGTTTAGCGTGGAGGAAGGTAGTCTAGTACTGGTGTAACTCTCCAGGAAAGATGGTTAGGAAACTACCCGCCTATATGACTGAAATACTGTTGGGAAAAGACGTAAAATAAAACAAACAAATAAAACATTGCTGGTTTCAAGTACCTTGTTTTTCAGCCATATAGGTAGGAATCTTACAGGTAAAACTTGAATGTTTTATGATGTGAGAAAGCTTAGAATAACCTGGTTAGTTTGGTGGTTCTGTGACATAGGCTTATTATTACAGAGAGGGGCAACTAAGAGTTTTCTTCACCAGATAAAGGTTTTGAAGTCACCTTATAAGCAGGATTTGGATCAATGTTGATGACATAAATATATATATCATTAGTTATAAAGATTTTTGACAGGTAATATGACTCTTTATAAATGGTTGTTTGGAAATATAACCCGAGCTGCTAGGCGAGGGATATATTGCAAACAACCCTTTATATACGGCCATATAACCTATTACAAATATTTATAACCAGTTTATAATACAGCAAGCATCATTTTTAGAGGAATAAAGCGAGATTTCTTCATAAATCAACAGCAGCCTTGTATATGAAACTTCATAATACTGCAGGTTTGTAACGTCACTTTTCAATGGATAATCATGACTTTTATATAGTTTGATATACACAGCCACTGTAGATTTATGAAGAAATCTCGCTTTATTCCTCTCAAAATGATGCTTGCTGTATTATAAATTCTTATAAATATTCCAGATAGGTTATTATGGCCGTATATAAAGGGTTGTTTGCAATATATTCCTTGCCTAGCAGCTTGGTTAATATTTACAAACAACCATTTAAATGATTGATCTCAGAAGGGACATCAATGTTGAAATGAAAGTTATTTTAGAAAAAACAAAACATCAATAACAAAATGATAACATACAATTTAATTGTTGCTGTATTTTACAGTACATACAGTAAATGAAATAGAAATGTTAAATTTTGATTTTGAAAACATTGATAGATATATCAAGACTTGAACTGATATATAGTGAGTTGTGAATTTCATTGTATGTGATGCTGTCTGTTAACTCAAGATCTGTCTGTATTAGTTCATATCCGTGTGTGAGGTCAGGTGATAAATAGAAAATGTTTGTGTCTAACCTAGTACCATATTTTCCAATTACAAGTAGATTTCCTTTACTATCCACCGTCATTTTTCCAGGGTTTGTTAGACTGTCATTTCTATATTCTGCCATAAGGTGTCCTTCAGGTGTATAACTTTTGACTAAGTTATCCCGCTGATAAGAGATGTAGATAGTCTTACCATTAGGGCTGACTGTCATGTCATCAATATCTTCTGAGTTAATATTGAAGTTTGTAACTTCATGTCCAATAATGTCTAATTGTTTTATTGTGTATTGATTTGATTCAAGATTATAACACCTAACGAACAGATTTCCAACACGGTAATGAATGTTATCACAGAACTGGCATGCAATGTTTAAGATATTTATAACTGTCCTTTCAATATTAAATTGATGTTCTGTAATACGCCAAAGTTCTACTCTATTTATAAATGTTGCAGCAACTGTTTTGTCATCTACTTTTATAATTTTCCAAATACCCTGTTGATGGAAACTGTGTATAATTTTGTTTTCGGTTAGATTGTGCACTTGTACATCATCCTCATCATCCTCATCATTCTCATAACTATTGGAGCTGAAGACAATATGCTCAGAGAAACAGGATAGATCATCTACTTCAATGTTTTTAGGTATAGATTCCAAATGTTTTTCTGAAATTTTTTCCAATGCAAGTGTTTTTAAGGAAAATTTTTCTATTGTTTCACTCTTCTTTGTCACAGTTGGAGAATCAAGTACAGGGTTTCCATCATTAACAGGTTGGTGATCCTTTTCATCGGTTGAAATGCTTTTAAAATCGGTTGTATTTTTAGTCTGAAGATTAGACAGTTTTTCAATTTTTTTATACATTGTTGTCATAATTGGAGAAGCAAGTAAAATTGCACATGCAAGAATAAGTAGAACATTGAAACATGAAATCTTGTTCATTTTTACAACCTCCAGAGGTTTCAAAGTCACTTTCCCAAAATTTTCAGGCTTGATTTTTTCTTTTGCTTTCGTGTATGAATACCTGTTTAAATCTTTATCAAGCTTGTTTTTCAAATTTTTCGAAGTTTCTGCTATAATCTCTTGTTTATCTGCCACTTTTTTGGTTTCCAGATATACCTTACACTTTTGATGAGAATTCTTTAAAGTCCTAACTTCTGTTTTTAAACCTTGAATCTCTGCTTTGAGAAGATCGTTTTTGGTGTTTTCCAAATCAAGTGTGTTTTTATTTGTCTTGTGAAGGTTATCAAGCTCTTCTTCAATGTTATTAAAAATCTTTTCAACCTCCTGCCTTTGTTCTTTTACCACTTTAATAACATTTGTATTCTGCTTTTCAACACTTTCCCTGTGATTATCAATACTTTTTTTGATATCATCAGCTTCTTCTTCTATGAGATCAAGATTTTCCTCTAATATTCTGCATTCTTTTACTGCATCAAATTCAGCAGCTAGTCTTGGTAGATGTTGTATATTTTTACATGCTGTATGGAATGTGGTTTTGCATGTCCAACAGGCAATGTCTTTACAAATGATGCAGTAGAATTTGAGCAATTCTTGAGGGTGTTTGTTGCATTTCTCCATGTAGAAGTCCACTGGCATACTGTTTTTGTCTTGTTGTATGTGATCAGGTAGAAATTGATTATGATATCCTAAACATGTTGTACAGAAATATTTAACACAGTTTACACAAAATCCCTCTGCTGTGACATGTTTTTGTTCTTTTTTGTGACAATATTCACAAAACATTTCTTCAGTGAAGTCTGATCCACTTGATAAGCCTATATCCGCCATTTTGTCCTTGATATTCTATTTGCAATAAACTTGAACTGAATTAATCTGTCTGTGTGGGTACAGATAAAAAATCTAAAATTATCATTTGATTTCAAGGTCATTTTAAATTTTTATCATGTTTATTACAGCTTAACGTTATCTTATGTATTTGATGGTATTAAATAAACTGAGAGAAGTTTATGTTATACAGTGACAAGTGTGAAAGTAAAATATCATGACCTGGGGCAACCTTTCGGAGTTTTTTCTATAAACTTAAAAGTAGGCTGTAAGGAAAACCTGAGATAGAGCACCCAAGGTCAGGATATTTCAACAAAGTAGCTGTCGTGTTCAATATACTAAAACTGCTAACTGCATGATAAAACAGAAATGAAAATTTTGATGAGATATAAAATTTTAATTTGTATTTATATTCCCTTGATGAATAAAGTTCTCCCATTTTGAACCTCATTTACTTTTTAGCTCACCTGTCACAAAGTGACAGGGTGAGCTTTTGTGATCGCTTTTCGTCCGACGTCCGTCCGGCGTCCGTCCATCCGTAAACTTTTACTTTAAATGACATCTCCTCATAAACCACCTAGCCAATTTCATCCAAACTTCACAGGAATGTTCCTTTGGTGGTCACCTTTAAAAATTGTTCAAAGAATTTAATTCCATGCAGAACTCTGGTTGCCATGGCAACCGAAAGAAAAAACTTTAAATATCTTCTTTAAAAAAACCATAAGAGCTAGAGCTTAGATATTTGGCATGAAACATCTTCTAGTGAGTGTCTACAAAGTTTGTTCAAATAAAAGCCCTGGGGTCAAAATTGGCCCTGCCCTGGGGGGTCATTGATTTTCCCTATATGCATATACATGTAGTAAAAACTTAAAAAATCTTCTTTTAAAGAACCCAAAGAGCTAGAGCTAAGATATTTACCATGAAATATGTTCTAATGGGTGTCTACCAAGTTTGTTCAAATAAAAGCCCTGGGGTCAGAATTTGCCCCACTCCTGGGGGTCATTGATTTTCCCTATATGCATATAGTAAAAACTTAAAAAAATCTTCTTTTAAAGAACTCAAAGAGCTATGGCTAAGATATTGAGCATCAAACATGTTCTAATAGGTGTCTACCAAGTTTGTTCAAATAAAAGCCCTGGGGTCAAAATTGGCCCTGCCCCAGGGGGTCATTGATTTTCCCTTGATAACAAATTGCAAATTTCAACTTGTGTAGCCTGAAAAATATTTGACCTGGATTCATGAAACTTTATTGAAATGTTGGTCAGTATGTGTAGTTGTGAACCTGGGAGTTTGCTTATGCAATTATTTAGTTTTGTAGAGTTATTGCCCTTGACTTAGTAAAATATTGTAATTTTCAATTTGTGTCAGGCATAGCCTGAAAATTATTTGACCTAGAGCCATGAAACATTTATGAAATGTTAATCAGCATGTGTAGTTGAGCATCTGGGGTTATTTGTTTGTTTTTATTTTCTTTAGGATATAAATATAAGATTTGAAATTTTTGCAGGAAAAATGAAGATGTCCATATTGGATAAATTGGATGTCATTTTTATGCCCCAAACATAAAAATGACATCCAACTTTTTTAAATCTTTTGTCATAGTCACAGTCCTGCTCTGTCAAAACAGTGGAATGTTGTGGCATCCGTGTCCAATGGACACATTTCTAGTTTTTTAATGTGATATAAAGCAAAATGCTTTTCATTAATTTTACCACTTACATTTTGATTATTAAGAATTTGCATTTTACCCCTCTGACTTTTGAGTAAAAGCCAACAAGGATAAAGTGTGATTTGGATGATTGATTCCAATAAGATTAATGATTAATGTTGAAGATTTAATACCGCTGAAGTCGTAAGAGATGTTTGATTGTTTTTATTGGTTATCAACAGACTTGGATCAAATCTAAACAAGTTTCTTTTTTTGTTTTTATTTCTCTTGAATGATCTTTTCCTTTTCTAGCTTCTTTAAAGGCTTATTATGCCTCACAAATTCATATTTGCTAAAATTCTTTAGAAATGACAACATGTTTAGAGCATATTAGATGTTTAACAACTGAAAAAAGTTGCATGGAATGTGCAGTAAGGTGCTGTAAAGATAGTAAAATGTAAACAAAGTAGTTTTCTGACTTCCGTCCAAACTATTCATTCACTATGATTATCCCCATTGCCAGCAGAGCAAAGGAAGTGAGAAGAAAGTTAATATATGTCGCAAATGAGTATTCTTTTGGAAAGTGTAACAAAATACCAGACATTAAAAGTTTTTGGACAATAAAAATGAAAGCATTTCTGAAGCATAATGGACATTTAAAAGATTTCTTATTGGACAGACATTGACCACTTCCCATAAAAAGGGTAATAAAAAAGTGTATTCAGTCTCACCTATTTATTTTTCAGTTCTCAGTATCATGTGTTTGAGTTAACGAGACAGTTACCGAGGTTTTCTATGTATGTGTTATGCGGTGAAGATCAGCAAGAAGCCAAAGGCACGTGTACCTTCCAAGTTAATGAACGTGTACAAAGAGTAAGTCACTTAATTTCCAAGTTAATAAACACGTACAAATTGTAAGTCACTTATTTCCATGTAAATGAATGTGTACAAAGAGTAAGTTACTTAATGCAACAATAAGCAATATTGTTATTACGATCAGGAACTAGTATTTGACTTTAGTTAATTCTGCAAGGTCCAGTAGAATTTGTTATGCTCAAATGGATTTTACTAGGCCTAAGTTGATTTTGCAAGGCCCAAGTTGATATTGCAAGGCCTCAATGGATTCTTTAGCACAAAAATGGATTGTGTTAGGGTAAAGGCCCTAGAGGATTTGCTCGGCAAAAGTGGACTTAAAACAAATGTTGCTTGGTCCAAGTTGATTTTGTTAGGCGTAGCTGGCTTTGTTAAGCACAAATGGATTCTGTTATGTCCAAGTGGATTTGCTTGGCCCAAATAGATTTGGTTGTCAAAAGTGGACTTTGTTAGGCTTTGACTGCATGAGACTATAATTATTTCCTAGGAATTTCAGACAGTGTGTCCATGGACCCCTATGTTTAGGATTTTTTTAGTTTTAATGAAGTTTTTACGGGAGCACCAAAACTTAAATTCAGCAACCAAAAACAATTTTAAATTTTTATGTTACAGTTGTAGGCTTCTATTTCAAGGACAGCCATCCTAGAAATAAAACTGTAAAATTTGTAAACTGGGTATATATTTAATAGAAAAAGGGCCTTAATAATATAGCAAATCAAAATTTTATTTATACAAAAGTAACCAAATTACCATAAATGAATGGAAATTCTTAATTGGTTGGTGAGTTTTGAGGTCCATGGTATGTACTACTGCTGTAAAAATGGCAGTCCTGGGACTAAAACTGTATCAGGGACAGAGAAACCCTGCCTGCTAGTGTTTGTTCATGAAATATTGTTGTATCATATTGTATATATTGCAGATTGTTATGTGGATAAATCAGAATTTTCTTCTACAAGATGATGTACAGGTAGATGCTGATGGAAGTATCAACTTTGCTTTCTTATCTTTACGGGCCACTGGACCCTTTCATTTTAAAATGGACACTTCTGGAACTGTAAGTTTGATTTCCATCTATTCAGGGCAAGAATTAATAGATTTAATACATCGAAGAATAAATTGATGAAGGAATGCTCTATTAAGGGTCAGCTAATAAAATATTTCAACATATTAAAGGGACTCCATTGAGGTTTAAAAGCCTAAAAACATAACATTTGAATTTTTTGCATAAATGAGCTGGGCCACTTGAAACAGAAATATATGCAAAAATAGTTAAGAAATATAATTTGAAATAAATTGAAAATCGTATTCTTATGCTTTTCTTAGCCCGATTTTAGTGAAAAGGGTTTCAACGCTTTTCATTTTGGGTCATTTTGTTACAATTTGAATGATTATTCTCGAAAAACAATGTGCGCGAATGATCTGAAATTTTGCAAAAAGATTAGTGGTCTTAACCTACATCAAATGGTACATTTATCTGGACAAAATATTTTCAGTCCCATCATGTCAAAAAACCTCAGTGGAGTCCCTTTAAGTTAACAAGACCACAAACCAGCCCTAGCCATCTAAGAAAATTTCTTATAATCATTTGGATGAGAACCAGATCTACTGTTGTTTTACCCTTGCATGTGGAAAATGAAACAACTGATGTTTACTCTGGCCTGCCAAGCTGTCAGTCTGAAACAGTTTGAATAGGAAATCACTGTGGTTATCCTAAAAAACCTTAAACAGCAAAGTCGATCTTATTACAGTTATCCTTAAGTATACCCAATGGCAACAATATTATAATTGTTACACTCAAGCACATTCGCATCATTTGCTTTAAGCGGAACCTTAGAATAAATTCTGTGGCTATGTGGAGTATTGTCTTAAATTTTTGTTTTGAAGCCAGAGTTTGGGAATTCAAATACTTCACAAAAGTATATTTTTGTATTGCATGCTACAAAGTAATGACTGAGTTATAGCCCTTGAATGAAAAAAGGTGTTTTGGCCCATGTATAATTTTTGTTCCGCTTTCATGGTATATTTGACATGCTATAAGTACCTTTGGCCTTTAGAGAACAAACTGGTTCATCAGCGTTCAATGCAACTGCTTATTTTGCTGTCATCAGGCGACACATGTGATCACTTAAAATACTCTTGTTTCTGATGTATTGGGGGTCCTATAACCTCAAATTTTGGTAAAATTTATATAAACTCATGTTAATGATTATCATACCCTTATTAAGTGTATATGAGCCGCGTCATGACAAAACCATCATAATGGTTTTGCGACCAGCATGGATCCAGACCAGCCTGCGCATCCGCGCAGACTGATCAGGATCCATGCTGTTCGCTTACCAACCCTATTACAAGTAGAGACACTGATAGCAAACAGCATGGATCTTGATCAGACTGCGCGGATGTGCAGGCTAGTCTGGATCCATGCTGGTCGCAAACGCACTATGTTGGTTTTGTCATGATGCGGCTCATATATAATTAACATGTTATTATCAGGTGACATTGAAGACAGATGACATGGATCTGGCAGGTGATGTTGTACAAGCCGTGGCCAACTTCCTCAACCTAGAAGATCTACATACAACCATAGACTACCCGGATGAAATGGAGAGACTTAGAGAAGTTCTTGTTAAGGTATACATGTACTTCTAGTTATGTACATGGTCAAATTGAGGCTTGGTTATTATTAGCCTACTTACTGCACTAAAAAATCATACATGAATGATTCTTTATTGGATGTAAGAGCACCTTTACAATTAAAAACATCTGATAGGATATATTTTGACAGGTTATATGGCCCTATATAAATGATGTTTGTATATATACACCAAGCAGTTAGGCAAGGGTTATATTTCAAATAGCCATTTATATACAGCCATATAACTTGTCAAAAATCATTAAAACGAAGTTAAAAGTCTGCAAACATTCATTTTTACAGAGAAAAATGAAATTATTTCATAAATCGACAGCAGCCATGTTTATAGATTATATAAACGTCACGATTATCCAATGAATAGCGACATAAAAAATGTGGAGTATTATAGAAATTTTTTGGGGAAGGAATGTGGAAACATTTGTTTGTGAACTGACTTGTCTTCTATTCTTGTATAAAGGTAGATGAGTACCATGCTGTGAGACAGAAGTTGACGGCAGAGATGGCCGATCATTCTAATTTGATACGTAGTCTTGTTGTACGTGCCGAGGACGCCAGACTTATGGGAGATATGTAAGTAATTTACAAGACGATAGCTCTCTCTTTAAAAGTTTTAAATATTATGTTGTGACGTCCAGATGGGATTAAATAACCATAGATTCCTGGGTTTGACTTGCTATAGTTTAAAGTGGTAAACTGTCCATGAGTTAATGGGTTTGACTGACCATGGGTTATTGACTTTAACTCTCCAATATTGAATGGGTTTGACTGACCATAAAAAATTTGTTTTTATTGGACTATAGGTTAATGGGTTGACTTACTATGACTTATTAGGTTTGACTAACCATGGGGTAACGTGTTTGACTGACCATGTGTTAATGGGTTAAATTGACCAATAATTTTTGGGGTTTTCTGACAATAGGTTAATGGGCTTAACCTACCATTGTTAATGAGTTAGGACTGGGATATAAGGGGTTGACTGACCATGGGTTCATATTTTCAAGGGTCAGAACAAAGTTTCCATCCTTACTTCCTTGATGAACAAACCAATCAAAATAGCTTAAATCCATAGCTTAAAATGGCAATCTTTGACCTGCTTTGTTATGTTAAAGCACTGATAGTAGATGGGTTCATAAATTGGTATCAGAAAATACAGACTGTAGATAATGTCAACATTTTGTTTACATTCATCTGTGCATGCTTCACATACTCCAAAATGTCATTTAAGGAGTGGATGCAGACTAGTTTTATATGTCATAGTAGATTTAATACAAAATGTTTAAATTATATGGTTGAGTGTTTTGAAGTATTGTAACATTTGAGCGGCACCATGACAAAACCAATGTAATGGGTTTGTGACCAGCATGGATCCAGCCTGCGCATCCGCACAGGCTGATCAGGATCCATTCTGTTTGCTAACAAATCCTATAACAAGTAGAGAAACTGATAGCGAACAGCATGGATCCTGATCAGACTGCGCAGGCTAAACCCATTATGTGGGTTTTGTCGTGGCACGGCTCATTTTATTTTACGTATATAAACAGGGGTAACATGAAGAAAGGCTATACAGAGTTATACAACATGAATCATGATCTGATTAACGGATACAAGATAAGATGTGGTAATCATCAAGAGTTACTGGCCGCACTTAAACAAGTTAACCTGATCATACAAAAAGCTGGCAGAATGAGAGGTAAATATCTGGAATAAAGAAATTGATTATTGATTCTAATTTTTGAGCAGTATAAAGCCAGCATTTCATAAGCTTACATGCTGTCAGACCAGGACATAAATTATACTGTTTGCTGCTGAATTTAAGCATTTACAAAACTAAAACCTGTTTATCCTCAGAAATTCATAATTTCTTTTTAATTCTTAAGAATGCCACTGGTATTAAAAAAGTTGTAGGTACTGATTATTAAATCATAGTTTGAGGAATGGTTGTTGGGGGGGGGGGGCATTTACTTGCTTACCAGTCGCTACTGTTGGTTAAGATCCTTACTAGAAGTGTTGAATTATTTAATATTTATTAATATAAGAAATCTTTCCTTGTAAGTTATTGAAGGAATTAGGTCCATTCAGGTGCTTATTTGTGCCTGGTTTTAACCATATCCAAAGAAAATAATAATAGGGTAGTGTTGGCCTTCTGGTAAAGGTATCTGCCTCTTAACCCAGACATATTTGGTTCGAGACCCACTCTGGTAACAACCATGTTTCCTCATATAATAGCTGTTCTGGTAAGTTCTGGAAAGTAGACTTAAAAGTTGCAGAAACTTATTTGACAATTTAGATAAATATGTTTTAATTAAGTTAATAAAATAAATTTTGATAAACATGTATTTAAAAAACTGAAGAAAAAAAATCTTTTAGTAGAAAATTGCCCAGAGTAACCAGATATATTACAAATTATTTTTTTTGTTCAATTTCAGTCGGGAAGTTTAAGACTCAAGTTGTGAATGCGTGTCGAGCTGCCATTAAAAGCAACAACGTAAATGCACTTTTCAAGATCATAAAAACTGGAGGGAGCTGAGTGATATTTTGTGACATATCAACAATACTGTTTACGTATATTTTTACAGACATGTGACATTTTACATTCCGTCCATATCATGAAATAATAAAATGATAAACAATTTTATACTGTACTGACCGAGATAGTGATTCATACATATATATTGAAATACTTTTACCGTATAAAAGTGTGTATAAGTCAGACTTGTGTGAAATATCAGTATCTAAATAAAAGAGAACAGGAGAAAAATTTGGGGCTAAATGTCGGACTGGAGTAAAATATCAGTATCTAAATATTTAAAAAGAAGGAAATCATGGGGCTAAATAAATGCACAGAAATTCATAATAAGAGAAAAAATGATATATATATTACCCATATCTTGATTATTGTCATCATTTGAAATTAAAAAGGTTTCAGGAAGAAGAAATATCCTACAGCATACACTAAAACCTCTGTAGAGCGACCCTCTGTACAACAATAACCTCTGTACAGCAATTACCTCTGTACAACAACCATGTCATTTCTTTCTGAAGGAAGACCTCGCAATACATTTAACTTCTCTACAACAACACCTCTCTGCATCATCCAAAGTCTTGGTCTCACGGAGGATGTTGCTACTCAGGGGTTGTACTGTACTTACAATAAAATATTATTAGTATTAAATTTGGTATATGACGTGAAATCAGTCCCTTTTAAAATCAACTTTTGTAAAGACGCCTCTTTGTTACATTAGATGTTACCCTTACACTTTTAAGTTATTATTAACAAGTGCTCTTTTTAATCATCCCTAGATTGTATCAAAACTTGTGTTTGTATGATATCATTATTTATGTGTATTGTTAATGTATTTATTTATATGTTATTCTGTGATATAAGTAAGTTATTAATGTTTCTGAAAATGAAAAAAATTGTAATGTGTCATGGCAATTGATAATAAACTGAAGGAAAAATTACATTTTTTTATGGATTTCTAAAGCTTACAGACTTTGATCACAGTTTAGTATGTTTGATAAAAAACAGGATTTAAGTGTTAGAATTTCTAGTGAAAGAATGTCCATCATGCAGGCAAAGCCCTCAGGTAAGCACAATAGGTAGAACATTGGACTGTGAATTGTGCAGTTTGATTCCCCGACAGCGCAGGTCACTTTCATTGTGATTGAAAATATTGAATCTTTTCTATGGTCATTCGCACTGTACCTCTCTGCTCTGGCATGTGCAGAAGTTAACAGTTCCTTGAGAAATTAAAGGTAACTTGTACTGGTAAACTGGTTGAATGCCTGCCCAGGAAAGATACATTGGCCGAACAGTGCTCTGGTAAATTCAGTGTGGCTTACCGGTACTGCAATGATCAGGAGTGAAAACTACCAACACCATCAGGCAGGCAGGTAGCAGGTCGGGAGATAATAAATTCACATACTTTTAGTATTATAAATATGACTTGCAAGAAGAACAGTTGGGTTTTAAGTCTCTCTGACATTATTAAGGTCATTCTGACATTATTAAGGTCATATGGCGACTTTCCTACTAGACTGGTGGAAGAAGACCTTCGGTGCCCCGTCATGCATTCAGGCTTGAGCACACTACTAAGTAGAACCACTGACTTTTGTAAGTTGGCAGGGTACCTTCCTCACATGAAAGAATCCAAAGTCCCTGGCAGGATTTTAAATCCCAGGCAAGAGGGCCAACAGGTTAGCGGCTGTAACCACTGAGCTGCAAAGGCCCCTAAAAGTATCGCAGTTTTAAAAGGGAAATGATTCATTGAAAAACAAATCTGGAGTTGTGTGTACTGAAATGTGAACAACAATAATTATATTGCAGTCATGACGATAAAATATGAAGGACAAGAAGTTATTTAAATTAACTTTAATGTGTATAAAAACAACAGCAAAAGCACTTAAAAAAAAGATAAATAAATAAAAGCAACTTTAAAAACATATACATAAATTGAAAAGAAAAAATCTAAAGACTAGCCTGTCTTACATAAATTACAGTTGTCGGGGACAATTTGGCTGAAAATAAATGCGATGCCAATAATCCTTCAATGTTTGTGTGAATTATCTTAGTAGAGAAGTTGGCAGATACTTTGAACTTCATTAATTTTGTGGGCATTAAATTTCATGTTTTTTTTCTTGTTGTTTTTTTTCATTTTTTTGTGGTTTCTTAATTAAATATTAATAATCTCAAAGCACAGCAGACAAAATAAAATTTTCATTGGATCTTAAATTTGTGGATTTAAATTCATGAAAATCATGAAATTTAGTGTGTTACAAATGATAATGATTTTGCTGTACAAAAGATAGAACACATCTATAAAGACTCCAGGAACATTTGTGATAGAAACAACTAATAACCACAATATGCTAAATAGAGGATATTTATTTAACAAGTTGAATAAAATCATATGCCAGCCTCTGGCGAGCATAATATTGTTTTATTCAACAAGTTCAATAAATTTAGTACTGAATCTGCACAAATATAATATTCTGTTTATCACATAATATAAATAAGAACACTAAACTGTTAAAAAGAATCATTTTCCATTGACACCCCTATAGTGTAATATGCTAACATTAGCGCAATTTAACGCTGTGTTTGTAATTAACGCAAATGATGTCACTTCTAAGTGTTATTACACTAGTGTAAAATCATTTTTATTACCGTAAATGGCTTTATTACACTCTCATGCTGCGATTTTATGTGATAAATTCTTGTATAATGGATTCGACCTGCTTTGTACAATCCATTTGAATTTTTAGGAAATTCATTATTAAAATACAGAAATTGAACTTCCAATTAAGTATAAAGCCTGGACAGACTGCATTTTGGCCTGGCTACATATTAGTTGCCAAGGGTTATCACAATCAAAAGGGGTTAATGATATTACTGTAACACTTAACTTTGATTTAAGTAAATGCTGCTTTCTAATTATATAGATCTACTTAACATATCTTGTAAGCTTTGTCATAAATCTTAGACTTAAAAATCAAACTTTCAAAATGTAAGCATTATCACTACTAAAAACTCATATTGGCTTAATTAAATGTCTGCTTAAATAACTTTAATGCATAATCAATCAGGTAAAATGTAACATGTTATGATGAAGATTTGTCTACTGGGCTTATTTATTCACTGTACACTGCAAAAGCAGTAAAAGATTTACAAATTCTTGTAATAGCAAATAAATACAGAGCTTTTGACATAAATTCAAGTGGTTTGAACACATTTTAACTGTTTCATATTTTGGCATTTCAAGACATGTTGGTTTCAAGATGTTCATATGACTTTATATAATTATCATTCAAAAAGCTTATTCCCATCCTGACATCCTCTTTCAATAGTATAAAGTGCTATTATATTACAAGGCCTTTCTCTTATAAATAATCCTTCATTCAACAAAGATGGTCACTGTTATAAACTGATTGTATTGTTCTAAAAGTGATTAAATTACTTAACAGTAATATTTAGTTGCTGTAATAAAGACTTTATCACTGATTGTCTGTCCTTTGAAGTTTCTCGGAGGACGGGTATAATATCTAAAACATCTTCATCCCCATCATCTATGTCTTCAGAATCATACTCCAAGTGTGCCCCACTGAGTACAGCAATACCAGCTTGAACCTGACACCTAACAATGGCAGCAGGAGAGTCGGGCAAGTCTAAATACCGAGACAAAACTGTAGTATCATCTGAGATTCTTTCCTCATCTATTTTGAAATAGCAGCCTCCATTAAAGTATACTTTAGTGTTCAAAGGCATGCCATTAGAAACCTGAGATTCCCACAGTTGAGATTCTTTAGAGGTCTTGTTTCCAGATTCCATGTCATTTACAGAGATTTGAGATTCCTTTTGCGCTTTTTGAGATTCTATTTGATCTGTTTGACCTTGAAAATTTTCCCTTGACTTTACATTTTTCCAAAAAAA